AACCTTTTGCCACATTTCAGGCTTCAAACATAAAGATATAAAATTTTAATTTTTTGTGAAGAATCAACAACAAGTGGGACACAATCGTGAAGTGGAATTAAATTTCATTCCACTTCACAATTGTGTCCCACTTGTTGTTGATTCTTCACAAAAAATAAAAATTTTATATCTTTATGTTTGAAGCCTGAAATGTGGCAAAAGGTTGAAAAGTTCAAGGGGGCCGAATACTTTTGTAAGGAACTGTATATGTACTACACCACGAGTTCCCAAAATTTGTCATGCCATGGCCCCCCCAAACAGCATTGGCTTCTGGCCGAGGCCCCCCTCGCAAACCCACAAACAATGCTACAAAATTTGTAAAGAAACATCAACTTTTATAATGTTTTAACTGTTATTCACTATATTCAATTAATTATTACAGCTGTTGAGTATAAAAATGTTATAAACTAACATGTGTTAAACACTGCATTATATTCCCACTGAAAAAAACAACTTTTCGACAAACTGTTGACTAGAAGAAGAAAATAAATAAAAAAATCTAACCTCTCTCTCAAGTGTGTTTATCAGGAAATTACAGGTACAGATTGCCCTGGGGGCAATTTATTTATTTTATTATTATTATTTTGCCTCTTTTTTTAAAATCTTCTTCTCTCCAGCTTACTGGGGCCCCTTGGCGGCACCCCAGGGGGCCGCGGCCCCTACTTTGAATAACGATACACAACTTACACTTCATCATTTACTAAATGACATTGTTCTGCTTGTAGCAAGTGTACTAGAATACACCTCGTTTTTAAAACGACATGGGTGAAAATGAAATTAATTTGTTTTTGGGGGGGGGGGGGGGGGGATTAAAAAAAGAGCTGATAAAATTGCCTGATTGATGAGAGAGGTTTCCTTTCTTCTTTCTTGTCACAGATTCAGAAAACAGAGAAAGTCTGTCCAAAAATGGCATCACCCACATCCTGTCTGTGTACAATAACGCAAAGCCGATGTTTGAGGTTAGTGGAGAAACCATGCTGGATGATATTTCTGTCTGTTTCGTGATCTGTTTTTTTTTGTTTGTTTTTTTTGTAATTGGTCAAACCAAAGCTTCCTGTGGAAAATCTTACCTGGAAACTTTTGTCTTTGATCATGTGAATCCATCTGTCAGCCAGGTGGGGGCGGTGACGAGTTTTGTTAGTGACAGAAGAGAAAGCATAAAGTCTGAAGTTTGGAGACAGCAGCCACAAAATGTCAGCAACTTTGCAACCAGTCATCTAACAGTGTCATTCACCGTTTCACAACAAATCATTCTGCATGACAAACGGACCTTTAGCTCATGTTACATTTGCGTTTGCTTTAATTTTGTAGTAATTCCACTTGAGTTTTCTTTCAATAATTCACAAATTTGTGACTGTTTTACAGGACAAGACGTATCTTTGCATTCATGCTGCCGATGCTTCCAGTCAAAACCTGTGAGTAATTACCAGTGCGCTAAAAATTACAATGATTGAGAAGTTGTTGTTTTTTTTAAAAAAACGTTTTACAAACTACATCCATCCACGTTCAATACTAAATGTTTGATTCATACTATCAAAAATACAATGAAAAAAAATCTACTGATCCTTCCCAGTTTTTTTAACTATGCAAATACAATGAGAACACATTACACTGTTCATGTTTATCTATTAAAAATAATCCGAAATCCAACAACGTGTAAAAAAAATAAATACAAATCTGAAAAGTAATGGATTTTTGCTGATGTCTTTCTTTGAGAGTATTGTGTTAACAAAGCAGAATTTTGAAAACATTAACAAAATCTATTAAAAGTAGCAATAAATAAAATATTGATATAAATGTTGGCAACAGCAAAACATGGTTCAAAGTATGCAAAGAACAGCAATTGGTTTTAAAACCAGTAGGGCCCAAAAGGAGTTTATTGAATTAAATAAAAGCTTGTTCCACAGGGGTGAAGCAAAACGTAGCGAGTTAAACTTTAGCCACAGGTCATGTTTTTACGTTTGTGGGGTTTTGAAAGAGGGAAAATTAGACGTGTATGAAGTGTCGTTGTTCATCAGGAGGCAGACTGGATGTTGACAGGCGTGAGTTTTACCTCCTCCCATGCAGCGGCCGCTAACACGACACATTAGTCATAGCTGTAATGTTTCTGAGCACGCTCATTCAACACCGTTTGCTTTGTGTCTCGAACACTTTGCACGAACTGAGGGGGGGAAAAGCGCAGACGTGTGATTTCTGGGCTTCAGTTTGGAGGAGCCCTGCTTGTTGATGACTTTGTGTTGAAGAGGAGCAGCAGAGGGAGAATCAGTAATGACTGAGTAACATATTCTGATAAAGCTCCAAACAGAAAAGTTAAGGCTCTACTACGTTGAGGTGCAAGAAATCTCAACATGACTGAGATTTAGTTAACGAGAGTTTAATTTCAGTGGCTGGTTGGATCGCCGTTGATTGAGTTGGGGTGGGGGTGTCTGACCTCCACTGTCGCAATCAAGCGTCCTTCCCTCAGGCAGCAGAGGAAGGAAACCTCCCAGTGACATCTGGCTGTTTGCTTCGACCACCCAGGCCTTTAATAAACCCCTCTCTGTCACAATCACTGGTCTGACCGAGGAGAGGGTGAGACCAACTGCCGTCCCACCACGTTTACCATTATCCAGGGGCCCCTATGCTCCAATGTGACCGCGCTTTGTTGGAAGAGCAGTGCTCGTTTGAGACTAAATACAATAAACTGGTTCTAAAGTTCAGTATAAAATATGTTTGGTCATTTGCACCGACCTAAAACGTAGATACTGTAACATTAGGTTTAATTAAATGCTGTGTAAAGAAAAGCTAAAAGTAGGATAATAAATTAAAGTATGGACTATCTTAAAAATAAATGTTCATTGATATGTCCTTAAACATAACATTTGTGCAGATGTTTATTTCTGGGTGCTAAATATGCTTTTGGGTGTCTTTATTTGCATGAAACCCTGGGTTAGGGTTAATCATTGACCATGAAGGTGCAAGAGGTGTTTTCATGTCTGAACAAGTACTAAACAATTAAAGACCCTTTTTTGTCAAAATGCTTTTGTCAGAATGAAACTTAATTTTTTAAGAAATCAGCAAACATGTTATAAATTAGCCTAAGCTCTTTTTTTGCATTTCAGTTTTTCTATTTAGCAGCAGCTACAGCTCTTTTCAGCACTCGTCCCTCTTCATCCTTGTTTAAATAAAACCTCAAACCTCCCTGCCACAAGTTAATTTTCTGCACATCAAACAAGTCTGCCGGAAACTTCTGCACAAGGAAGACGGAGCAAAGCGCTGAGGAGACATTTTCAAAAAAGGAGTTTGGATCACAGGAAGGAGGAAAACAGAAAAGTGACGGTCTATTTTAGCTCCAGTCTGTTACTCTGCTGTTGAGTAACCAGCATCTGCTCCTCAGGAGACGGCGTTATCAGCCACACACTTCTTGATTATGAAAAAAGGACAAACATCCGTGTTTCCTAACGGTGAACCGGTCGTCTATTTGAAGAGCATTTTCACTTCATTCTGCTGTTGGGTTCTTTGCCCATCATGCCCATTTAATAGCAATATTTGTCACTTTTCACTTGTTTCCAACAAAGTATATCAAAGCTGAAATGTAATTTTGCAGATAGTAGAAAAAAAAAAAGGTTACTTCCCTTGTCTGTCCCTGCTGTCTGTGGCCAGGTCTACCACAGACTCTGAGCTGACCGAACATCTGTCTCACATGACAACTTGGAGTATAGTGGGCTAAAACATCTCTACTCAAGTGATTTCTTAGAAATGCTTAAAAACATGTTTAAACCACATCGCGACATTTTGGAACCTCTTGCAGTTTTTGAAAGCAGCCTGTCGCTTCTGTTGTGAAAATTGGCAACTTCCTACAATTTCAGCATCTCATCTGAAGCAGCGTTCAAACCTCAGTGCAGGAGTTTCACTTTAAGTTGTCTTTTCAAAGGCCTTGTTCTAGCTTTACCATGTACAGTATTAAAACTAAGAAGCCACCGTTTCTGATTGGAAGAGAAACCGATTGTGTCTTTCTTGTCTTTAGACAAATGTTTGTGCAACCGGCTCTATTTTCAAGCGCTGGATGAGAATCACATTGAATGACCTAAAGTCAACATTCACTTACCGTATATATGTTTTTTTATTTCAAACTTCACATCCGTAGAACGGCTTTCTCTGTTTACGACAGCATGTAACTAACTGGTTTTTGATTTATAAACAATAGGCACGTACAGTAGTTATGTGTGAAGATATCTCAAGGGTATTCTCTGCCTCTTCTGATGATCACAAGTTTTTAGCATAGTTAGCAGCTTTGCAGTTATGGTTTAAAAAGACAAAATATTCTCTTTGAAGCATTTACAGTAAATAAAGTTAGATTCCTGCAACAAACCATCTGACTTTATTAAGTTGGGAATCAAAACTTGACGCCTGCTTCAGCCCAAAACATCTTTCATTACACTTCCAGGGTGTTTAGTTTAGTCTGTGTTTACGCTAGCTTCAATATTTATTAAAAACATCCATTTTATTAATATTCTTTGACATTGTTGTGTTTTTATTTGAGTACGTTGAAAGCCAGTCCATATCTGTTAGACGGCATTAATGTGTCTCTTTATTTCCTTTCCAGATTACAACATTTTAAACAGTGCATCACCTTTATCCATGAGTGTCGTCTGGACGGTGGAGCTTGTTTGGTTCACTGGTAAGCTCATGACACACGCACATACACAGGTTTGTCTTACTATCTTTATGGGGACTTTGCACTGACTTTGTTTTTCATTCATTTGTACAGCCTAACCCTGACCCTTACCCTAAACCTAACCATTACTAGTACATACCTAATACTGAACCTAACCCATCCTCAATTCACACCTTAGTCATAAACCTAACCCTTAACCCACCAACATCCCTTGAACCCTAGAGGACCAGGCTTTGGTCCCCACAAAGAGCAGTTAGACCTCACAATGTTGTTGAAGACTGGTCCTCACAAAGTAACATAAACAAGCACACACACATGTCTCTCTCTCTCTCTCTCTCTCTCTCTCTCTCTCTCTCTATATATATATATATATATATATATATATATATATATATATTTAAAAAAAAATTATTATAAGGACCACAATTACTATTCAATTTGATATGAGTGAGAGCGTTGATTCTGTTGAAATAAAAACTGACACCTGGCAATAACCAAGCTGATTAAATCTAACAATGTTTAGTCCGGTCATCTGGACAGTTTCTTTTTTTTTTTCTATTTTTGCTGAGAAGTTTCATCCTTCATCCAAAGGACTTCCTCAATCCGAGAGAAGCCACCAAACAAAACTGATTCCCACAAAAAACAAAGTGAGGGCACAGATTGTAGTGTAAAGCGCTTCGAGTGTCTTGATTAGATAGAAAGGCGCTACATAAGTACAGTACAGTCCATTTACAAACCGCATACTTCATAGGGAGGAGAAAAAAATCAGTTTCTGGTGCTAAGATGGCCTCTGGGACCCGTCCTCTCCCTCGTCAACTCCTCTGAGACAGTCATGCCAAAGTGGTTCAAAACACCAAAGTCCATGCTCAATAATCCAGGTATAAAATCCAACAATCAGTCAGGTCAACTGGACGGTTTCTCTTTTTGCTGAGATATTTCATCCTTCATGTAAAGGACTTCCTCAATCCAAGGAAGCAATCTCAGTCTTTGTTGCAAGCTGATTAAAGTTTCTTTGTTGCTTAGCCTTGCAGGTGTGTCCCGCAGCACCACCATGGTGGTGGCCTACCTGATGACTGTCACTCAGTACAGCTGGGAGGACTGTCTGACTGCAGTCAAGGCTGTCCGCTCATTTGTCGGCCCAAACTGCGGCTTCCAGCAGCAGCTGCAGGAGTACCAGAATACACAAGTCTCGGAGGTAAACACCTTCTCACCTTAAAAGTTCAGTTTTCAAACCCTGCATACGTATTTTGAATATGTTAACTCTGTAACTGCTTTTGTGTGTCTTGATTTAAAGCACTGTGTTCAGGCACAGACAGTATGCGCCACATGCAGCCAGTGCACATCCTGTCTGTGGTTAACCTATCAGAGGGTAACTGCAGCCATTCTGTGCATCTTTATTTTAGCGCTCTATAAATTATGTATTATAGTTGTTTTTCATGTAAAGGTTAACGAGCAGCTGTAATTGTTTTGCAGTATTGTTTTTAAAATTGTCTGTTTATATAAAGTTTTGATTTATTTGTATAATATGTAAATATAACAGATTTTTTTACATGCTATAATTAAAAGGATAGTTTGGATCTTTTTTGAAGACGATTTCTGCTGAAATCTTCACTTTAATTCCTACAGGACTGATGAGCTAAGAGCTAGTCTGAGAGGGGCCAAGACCAAAGTGGATTGCTGCCATTTTAAAACAACTCCATCATCAAAAAGTATAGTGGCATATTTTGCAAAAATTTAAGTCACAGTCAAGTTCACGTCATCCGGCAGAAATTATTGTCCTATTCAGACTAGCTGTTAACTCTTCAGTCTGGTCAGAATTCTTTCTTCAACCTGATGTTCAAAGAACTATCTGCAACAGGTAAGATATTAACTGTTCATATGATCTTCACGGGACCTGACTTTCAAGGATCTAAAGTCTCAGAAATGTTGTTCGCATCAACAGCTTCACAACTTTGTGCAGCTGTATGTTCTCACCTTCACTCTTGAAGCCATAAACAATCAGTGGACAAGATCACTGTCTGCGTCTTGTTTCTGGAACAGACAAGAGTTGTGCAGCAGTTTAACAACCTTTAACATTTTGCATAACTGTGATGACTTTAGATAGTGAAGGCACTTGGTGTGCAATTCTATGACAAAGTGCTCGAGAAGGGGAACTGCAGGGGGTTTGCTTGGATTGCATTAGCTTGGGTGCTGCTCATCACGTGTTTGGCGTTACTGTCAGCGTCTTGCAACATAGCATGACTGAAAAAAAAAAACTGCTCATTGTTTGTAGGTCTTGCACTGATTTTGAGGATTTAAGGGGAAATGGGTTTTCTGTATATGTGATTTTCCCACGTGTGTCAGATGGAAAGTAAAGGATCTACTTTTGTCTCCAACACAACGAAACATACAAAACAAAGTAACCAGCTGTGTGGATTAGGGCGCACTGGTGCAGCCGTTTTACACCAGTTCAGCACAAAATGTGACCTGTTCAGTTTTGCTTTTCATCTGCACTCTTGTTTGGCTGTCTAACGGCAGTGATGCTGCTAAATATGTTGAATTACACAGATGCAGAACTCAAACCTTGTGTTTCATTTAGGAGTTTATAAGATGCTTTGTTCTTTTGAAAAAGTCAATGAAACGATCTTTAGGCTGCTACTTGTTTAAATTGAATCTTTCTGCTTTGCATTCGAGTTGTTTTGGTTGGAACTAAAGGGTTCCAGTTCGTCGGTTTCCATTTTGAAGAGTTCATCAAGAGTAACCAGACTTGTTTGATCTGATCATTAATCATAGCTGTGGAGGTTTTATTTTCAGTTTTTCAACCAAGTGAAACACTTGAAAGCACTTTTGAGGCTTCGGTCAGGCTTCGTATTTCTTTTTCAGCGTGACACAGAAAGCTAATTTTGTTCCAGATTTTATCAGTGTTCATATTGATGTTATTTTTGCTTTCATCTTTTTAATTTTTATTTTTATTTTTTTTACATCTGTGCTAATGTTTTGAATCAGTCCTGAACTGTGTGGCTTTTAGGATGAATGTGAAGATACTGTACTAATTTTAGGAACATGAATACATTACTTTCACAATGACTTTCACTTCATTTTATTTAGTAAAGAATAAGCTATTGCACAAATTAAGTGGATAATTCCTGGACATCAATACAGTGATTAGAAGTCCTCGCATTTATGACTTAATCCTGTTGTTGACCCAGCAATAGGAATGAAACGCTTAAAGCTACATAGTAATGTTTACATTTATTCTACATATACAGGTCCTTCTCAAAAAATTAGCATATTGTGATAAAGGTCATTATTTTCCATAATGTAATGATAAAAATGAAACTTTCATATATTTCAGATTCATTGCACACCAACTGAAATATTTCAGGTCTTTAATTGTTTTAATACTGATGATTATGGCATACAGCTCATGAAAACCCAAAATGCCTGTCCCAAAAAATTAGCATATTTCATCCCACCAATGAAAGACAAGTGTTTTTAATATAAAAAACTCCAACCTTCAAATAATCATGTTCAGATATGCACTCAATACTTGGTTGGGAATCCTTTTGCATGAATGTCTGCTTCAATGCAGCGTGGCATGGAGGCAATCAGCCTGTGGCACTGCTGAGGTGTTATGGAGGCCCAGGATGCTTCGATAGCGGCCTTAAGCTCATCCAGAGTGTTGGGTCTTGCGTCTCTCAACTTTCTCTTCACAATATCCCACAGGTTCTCTATGGGGTTCAGGTCAGGAGAGTTGGCAGGCCAATTGAGCACAGTAATACCATGGTCAGTAAACCATTTACCAGTGGTTTTGGCACTGTGAGCAGGTGCCAGGTTGTGCTAAAAAATGAAATCTTCATCTCCATAAAGCTTTTCAGCAGATGGAAGCATGAAGTGCTCCAAAATCTCCTGATAGCTAGCTGCATTGACCCTGCCCTTGATAAAACACAGTGGACCAACACCAGCAGCTGACATGGCACCCCAGACCATCACTGACTGTGGGTGCTTCACACTGGACTTCTGGCATTTTGGCATTTCCTTCTCCCCAGTCTTCCTCCAGACTCTGGCACCTTGATTTCCGTATGACATGCAAAATTTGCTTTCATCCGAAAAAAGTACTTTGGAGCACAGAGCAACAGTCCAGTGCTGCTTCTCTGTAGCCCAGGTCAGGCACTTCTGCTGCTGTTTCTGGTTCAAAAGTGGCTTGACCTGGGGAATGCGGCACCTGTAGCCCATTTCCTGCACACGCCTGTGCACGGTGGCTCTGGATGTTTCTACTCCAGACTCAGTCCACTGCTTCCGCAGGTCCCCCAAGGTCTGGAATCGGGCCTTCTCCACAATCCTCCTCAGGGTCCGGTCACCTCTTCTCGTTGTGCAGCGTTTTCTGCCACACTTTTCCCTTCCCACAGACTTCCCACTGAGGTGCCTTGATACAGCACTCTGGGAACAGCCTATTCGTTCAGCAATTTCTTTCTGTGTCTTACCCTCTTGCTTGAGGGTGTCAATGATGGCCTTCTGGACAGCAGTCAGGTCGGCAGTCTTACCCATGATTGCGGTTTTGAGCAATGAACAAGGCTGGGAGTTTTTAAAAGCCTCAGGAATCTTTTGCAGGTGTTTAGAGTTACGTCATCGATTCAGATGGTTAGGTTAATAGCTTGTTTAGAGAACCTTTTCATGATATGCTAATTTTTTGGGACAGGCATTTTGGGTTTTCATGAGCTGTATGCCATAATCATCAGTATTAAAACAATTAAGACCTGAAATATTTCAGTTGGTGTGCAATGAATCTGAAATATATGAAAGTTTCATTTTTATCATTACATTATGGAAAATAATGACCTTTATCACAATATGCTAATTTTTTGAGAAGGACCTGTATATACAGGTCCCTCTTGTAAATGAGTCCTCGTGGTTCAATGAGGCTAGCCTGTATAAATAAAGGTTGACTGAAAAAAATATTCTATTCAATTTTGATTCAATTCATTTTATTTATAAAGCGCCAAGTCACAACACAAGTCATCTCGGCACTGAACAGCAAGATTCATATATAAAAATAATAATTTAATGTTATTTATCGGAGGAGCAGACTGCTTTGAGTTTAACTCCATCACAGAACTCTCATCTTGAGCAAGCATGAAGGCGACAGTGGAAAGGAAAAACTCCCTCATGAGGAAGAAACCTTTAGCAGAACCAGGCTCAGGACAAGCGTCCATCTGCTTCCACCGGCTGGGTTTGAGAGGAACAGATACACAATGGCAGGTCAAGAATAGCATGTTAAGGTGGAAAAAAATAATAATTCTGAACTCCCGTTAGCTACTGTATATAATGTTTAAGCTTTGACAGTGTGGTCATAAATTTTGAGTTAGCCCCTATTTTTATATATATTTTTATTATGTAGCTAAATTTTCTTACAATATTTTAAAGTAGCCTTGTTTTTCAGACTTTCTGCAGGTTTTTAATTGTTTTGTTTTTGTACATTAGCTTAATTTTAACTCATTTAGAATATTTTTTGCTTTGTTTGTTGGGTCACTTAACTCAGATTTATGAGTCATTCAAGGATTAAATGCTCCAAAAATTAACATTGTTTTATCTACAAATATGTATAAATTATCTACAAACTTAACAATGGATTTTAATCACCTTATCAGCAGCCTCTAATAAAGGTGCAATTTATTCTAATTTATTCAGTTAAATCTATTTTTAAAAAAGGCCCAAACTTACTAGTTTAAACACACAATAGTTTTATAAAACCATCAAAGTGTTTAGATAATTTATGGATGATGCATCTGTGTTGTGTGGGTTTACTATTCTTTAAAATACATGACTTTTAGACACAATGTATTTATTGTAGAAGGTTTTTAAGGTCTTGGTATTTCTTTTTGCTTCCACTTATTCAGTTTTTTTAAGGACAATACACTGTCATAGTCAGGTTTGAAGGACTGAACTGAAAACATGTTGAAAGAGAAGTTGAAATCCAAAATAAAACATCCAGAGAACTTTTGATGAAGACATTTAAAAGAACACATGGCTTCTTAAACAAAGATTGATTTTGACTACACTAATCATATTTAATGTGGTAATACGGTGTTTTTTTTTTTTTTTTTCATCTTGTGTCGCCAGTACCGAGCCTGGTTACAGTCCAGCTTCCATCCCAGTCCATTCTGTGACCACGAGCAGGTGGCAGCTCTGTTGACTCTGTTCACGGAGCAGCAGGAGAACCAGAGCCGAGCAGCATACCGCAGCTGGGGAGTCCGGGGCTCAGACACCCAACGTCCTGAAGGCAGCAGCTGAAACGTGACTCTTCAGCCGAACTCGAGCCTGCTGCTGCGTGGAACTACCGCTCCGTCATAGCTGGATCCAGCATTAGGGCTTTTGGACTTCACACTATAAAAACATATTTAATTAAATGCACACTTCCAGATTGAGCTCTTTTGAAACTTAATTGCTTCTGTCACAACTTTTTAAGCAGCCAAATCTCATTTTAAAACTTGGTACATTTATCTATTATCAGTCTGAACAGGCATTCAGGAGCACTGGTGCACACTGACACCTTATTATAAACACTCAGCACTTTATCTACAAGAGTAATCTGTTTACAACAAAGTCCATGCTCAATAATCCATAACCTAATCAGTTATCTGTTTAGTTGTTTTTTTTATTAGTGAACTTTATACGTCTGCATTGTTTAGCTCTGAAGCCTTAAAGACAGCCCCGATGATCAGTGCTGTCCTGGTTGAACGTTTTGCCTTTCTGTGCAGTGTGCACTGATTCCACACATCCTCAACCAAATTCTTAATTGGACTTGTTTACGTCTTTAACTCTGTTCCTGTGTAGCTCGTCGGGTTCAGATGGTCGGTGAACGGATACCATCAAGTTTATTCTGCACATTTCAGTAAGAGCTTCTGCTCACCTGTCAAATTTATGAAAACTCCCCATTTTTTTTATTTAAATTTGTATTTGGAGGGAAAATGAGAAGTTTTAACAAAATGATGCCTTGTCAAGAAACATGAAAAAAGTACATTTACCTTATGAACAGCTGCAAAAACCAGGAGTGACCTTTTCATATTGCTGGCCTCAGTCGTCACTAAACATACAAAGACTGATGGTACCTTAGATCAGAGTACCTTAAACTACTTTGTGCTGTAAGCGTAATTAACTTATGCCAAATTCTAGTCTTCCTTATTGTAGCAAAGCTCTAATTTATGTGACAGAACTGTTTAAATGGGATTCTTGTAAAAATGTCTGTTTTAAAGCCATGTGTTTTGAAGGGTGTTTTATTTATATATTTATATTTTATATGAAAGTGTATTGAAAAAAGATGCAATTGTTAATTTGCAGTGTGTGTGTGTGTGTGTGTGTGTGTGGGGGGGGGATGTGTGTAACTAAAATTCAATTAAAACGTAATTCAATTGTTACACCTGTAAAGTGTCAGTTCTAGACCCGATCTAAAAATGATCTATTTAGGGGGTGGGGGGATGTGTAACGGCACGGTGGATCAGTTGGTTGTCTTTCAGTGAGAAGGTTGCCGGATTGAATCCTGGCTGGAGGCCTTTCTGGGTGGAGTTTGTATGTTCTCTGTTTTCTCCTGGTACTCTGGTTTCCTCCCAAACACCAATGACATGCATGTTAGTCTGATTGGTAACTCTAAATTGTCCCTAGGTGTGAGTGAGAGAGTGAATGGTTGTCTGTCTTTGTGTCTCTGACTTGCGACCTGTCCAGGGTGTCCCCCGCACACCGACTGCTGGACATGGACACCTGCAACCTGAAGCGGGTAAAGGTAATGGCTGGATGGACTTTAAAAATCTATTCAGCTGTAGTTCGATCACAGCACATTTGAAAATATGTAGTTTAACCACTTTGTCTCGTTTCCCAGAAATATTTTCCAGTAGAGATTTTGGGTAATTAATAACCGAGGACGTACAATTTTTGTCACATTACTGTAATCAACAAAGTCTTTAACTGCATAGTTTAATTTCACTGTGAATTTATTGGCTCCAGAGACTGAATAAATTTATATTCGTGTGTTTTTGTTTGGTTATAGCTAAAGGTGGAAATGTTGGTGAACTGTTTTCTGGCTGCACATTCAAAACAGTTTCTCTGGAACAACAATGACGACGTGCTTTCACATCAAGAGTTTATATTAATCTAGATTAAACTTCTATACGGACTCATAAGCTTGTTGGACTGAAGCCAAAAGTTAAACCAAGTCAATAAATTATTCTATTTTTAACCAATGATTGTAATTTTAATTCATTCATATTAATACAAACATTAAATAGTTTCATATTTTGCAATTTCCTAAGTTAACTGATTTTGCTTAATCTATAAATTCATAAAGGAACATTTCATATTTTCATTCTGTGCAATAGAGCTTGGAAATATTACTTCAAATAGAGCAACAGATTTTTTATTTTTTTTACTACATTTAACATCCTTCATCCAAGTTCAAATAGAAATATTTTAAATATTTATGTAAATTTTTCTAATGCCATAAATGTTTAATAAACCATGAAGACAATTTTTATTTTAATATACAGACCCCATCGTTCATCACGTTGCAATTCTCTCGTGTCAAGAGTTATTTTTCCGCCTGTAAACTAAATTTAAAATTTCCCAAAGTAATAAACTTTACACTCAAGTAAAAACTCCAGCCCAGATGAGCACAGTCAGCCTCACACTTTCTGCAAAACACGCATTCACCGTGCAATTTTGATTGATTACGTACGTTTATCCGCTTTAGACAAATAAACATCATGACTTGCTATTTTAAACAAACTCATATTATCATGATGATGTTGCATGTTGGTTTGACAATCCATGAAAATAAACTTCCCCTGTATCCTCGTTGTTGGATACAGTAGATTTTAAAGCTTGACCACTCAAATGTTTGTTGAATTTACAGAATATTAGAATCTGTTTAGTTCAGATTTCTCTGATGACTGACTTGATGTTATGGAAAGAAGAAAACCTCATCAGTCTGCAGCATGTGTGAATTTCTCTGTATGTCTCAGTATTAATGAGAAGAGTGATGAAAATGTTTTAAAACAAAGGAATCAAATTAGTGTGTGTTGAGGCAACTAAATCTTTTGATAAATGCTGCTGAAGGTTTTAGAATGGGTTTCATATTCACTTCGTAAGTGATCATGATTGCTGCTGGTACTTTCTTTTGCCAGCATGAAAAGGAATTGTCTGGCAGAATGTCTCAAATGATAACTCATAGTTCAAATGTAAGAAAACTCATTTGGATGTTCAGCAACAACTTAGGAACCACCCATGTTTAAGACTACCATGAGCTGGAAACTGCAGGAACACTTGCATCTCCATGCACTGAGATGTGCAAGACTGCAAGTGTCTCTAACAGCAACTGAATTCAAGCTGGACCGAAGTTTGCAGCTGCTCATCTGGACAAGCAAAAATTCCTTCTGGCAAAATATTTGATGTTCAGATAAGCCATTTTGCCACATTGACAGAAGTGTGTTTGGAGGAGTCAAAGGGAAACTTTTGAACTTTTTCCTAATTGTCAGGCATTGTGCTGCCACCATGTAGATGGGTTAATGAATGAAAACAAACTCCAAAGTTCATGCTCAATAATCCAGGTAAAAATCCAACATTGTTCAGTCACTTCATCTGGATGGTTTCTTTTTCTTTTTTTGCTTTGACATTCTGGCTGCATTCTGATTTATTGCTTTTGAAAGTAATTTTTTTTTCTTCAGGATTTAAATCGCTTTTTTTTGGATGATTATTTACTCTGGTATCGGATGCTGTGCAGCTGGAAGGATTTTTTTCTGAAATCTTTTTACGTTTGGGCCTTTGTTATGATGCGTAACCATGGCAACAAGTTTTTTTTTTTTAACAACCAGGAGCAGTTGATTAACATCTCGAAAGCTCAAATACCTCAACTACAGCCCCAAATCCCAAATGAGTTGAAAAGGAGGGGCTGTGGACGAATTCACGTCAACCTGGTGGTGGTGCACAAGTACCTGACCGCCGAGATCCTGGAGCAGGTGGGAAACTTCAGCTGACGAGGAGGAACTCTGCAGACTGCTAGGAGGAGTGACCATGGCTCAGGGAGGAATTCTACCTGGCAGTCGGGCAGTCCTGCTGCCCAGGAGGACTGAGAGGCCCGCCGGATCTGACAGCAAACTGGATCCGGGTGGACGGATCGGTATCTGTGGCCAGATTCTTTGGATTTGCTGCAGGGGATCCTTCCTGCCCAGCATCTATAACAACTCTTGAATGAAACCACGGATGATGAGCTACAACAACACTTTATTTCCCTTTGGGATTAATAAAGTATTTTTGAATTTTTTTAAATTAATTCAATTTAAGGGGAGCACGGTGGCACAACTGGTAGAGCTGCTGCCTTTCAGTGAGCAGGTCCCTGATTCAAATCCTGGTTCGGGGGCCTTTCTGGGTGGAGTTTGCATGTCCTCTCCATGCATGCATGTTTTTTTTTGTTTTTGTTTTTTTTTTGGGGGGGGGGGGGGGGGGGGTATTCCGGTTAACTCTAAATTGTCCCTAGGTGTGAGAGAGGGAGTGAATGGTTTGTCTCTATGTTTCCCTGTGATGGGCTCGTGACTTGTCCAGGGTGTACTCCGCCCCCCGCACAGTGATTGCTGGACATGGGCACCGGTGACCCCTGTGACCCAAAATGGAAGAAGCAGATAAAAGATAAATTGATGGATGAATTTAATTTAATTAATCTTCAAACTCTTCAGCATCACCTCAAATCGACAGCTAGTAGAAACTTGGACACCGTGGGGTGTTCTACCAAGGCAATGATCCCAAACACACATCAGACATGCTTTCTGATTAAGCAGCTTCTGGAAAATATTCACAAACCTCCAACCTCAGAAGTTTGTGGACAAAACGTAAAAGTTGGGCCAGGAAACCAAACAAATCAGTGAACTCTACCAGTTCTGTCAAGAAGAGCGATCAAACAGCCCGACAGAGAAGCTTGCTGCTGGATACTAAAGAGTAGTGGGGTGCAATTAATAAATTGTTAATGAGGGATGTAAAGGTCTGTATGCATAAGTGTCTTTTTGTGTTAGAGATAAGGCACAATCAGTCCATATTGTGCTCTCAGTGTTTGTGTTTAAAATCCACTGATGGTGTCTGTCAGACAATCAAAGCCTGGTTCAATTAAACCAATACCTTCATGATCAGTGCATGTAAACTTTTGACCGCAGCGGTACCTGCACAACAAACTCGGTGCGGTTTCACACATGTGAGTGGGCTGCCACTCAGATCCCTGTAAATCCCCCACGGCAACTTGTGACTTTTTACGGGTTCAATCAGGACTCCACGTCCGCGCAGCGTCGAGCGTGGGCAGCAGCCGCTTTTACAACCACCACTCGTGTCAGGCCATTTCTTGTAAATACCCGCAGTTCGCAGAACAAACACTTCCGGACGGGGAAGTCTGAGAGGCTCTGATTGGTCGGACTGACGCAGGCCCCGCCCCCCGCTGCTTCATTCATCCGCGGAGCTCGAACCTTATAGGAGTGAGGAGAAGACACTGATTTAATCTGACAGGGAGACACGTCCATCAACAGAACCAGGAGCGCGTCCACCACCCAACTGTAAGTGACTTTACTTTCCTTTTCCAGTAACAGAGAAAGTTGGACTTTCCCAGTAAGCTTTATTTTTAATAAACTCATCTGAATTGTGTTCTTGTTGATTTAGGCACAGCTAAAAAAATCTGTGTCAAGATGTCCAACTCTGGAGGTCGCAGGCTGAAGCAGTGGCTGATGGAGCAGATCCAGAGCGCGCAGTATTCAGGGCTGCAGTGGGAGGATGAAAGTCGAACCATGTTCCGAATCCCGTGGAAACATGCAGGGAAACAGGATTACAATCAAGAGGTTGATGCATCCATCTTCAAGGTTTGGATGTTTTCTCTGAGCAGTTCTGTGGCAACAGGCTGAGACGCTCCCTTTCTGAGTAAAATCAAAACTTAGGCAGAAATGTCAATTTTTTTATTTAGTTATGTTTGCTCAAGTAAAACCTATTAATTAAATCATCAAAATATTTAAGAATAAAACAAGTAGAACAGTCTTTTTTCTTTCTTTCTTTCTTTCTTTCTTTCTTTCTTTCTTTCTTTCTTTC